TCAGTATTGGTCCAATACCATTCCCAGATACTAAGTACAAATGCTTCAACCAATTTTACAGTTTATTTTTTCTTTCTTTCTGAATAATAACAAAATAACTTGATATTTTTCTAAATGAGTTTACTGTATATTCAACAGCTAAATATCTAAATTTAATGAATCACTAAGAAATATAAAAATACTTTGTTTTATTTGTATTAATAATTCACACATGATTTGCAGTTGTAAACCACCAATTCTACAGTTTTCTGATGTTGTTTTGTATTACAAGATATCACTGGAAAGAAGAAGAACTTTTCCAAAACAATATAGTATGTTGTGTCATGACTATATTAGGCCAGATTTTCTTTAAAACTGTTACATTCTCTCATTTAGCAGGATAGCTCTTACTTTTACCAAGATAAAAAGGTACTTTGGAACATATGCAAAAAAAAAACCATTTGGTATCTGCCTACATCTCTTTAAATCAAGCATGACTTTTCTCAAGCACATATTGTAGTTCCTTTAGGAAGCTTTCATCCTTTCAAATATTCATTGTGAAATTGCTTTAAAAGTATGACTTGTATAACTTGAATGATCCATGTGCTTCAAACACATTTTCCCCTCAAAAGAGGCAATGACCTCAAATATGCTACCTTAAAAAAGAGACTGTAAAATATTAAAATAAATGTAATTAATTCATATTTAAATATTTATTGGGTATTTAAAGTAATTAATTATTGAAATAATTAGTATTACCCTTTTAGATGTTAATGAAACATATTCTCAATAATTTTGAAGATTTTATACCAAAGCATATATAGATGCCCATGAATATATTGGCATTTTTTTCCCTAGCAACTACTTAGCAAGCCTCTGCAGTTATTTTGGCAACTGTCAGGCACAATCAACCAGATTCACATGTTACTTATTATTACATTCTGCCTATTATATAGGAATCTTCCCAGACTGCCAGTCTTCACGTGGGAATAGATAGATAAGACTCTATTAAGATAAAGGGGGATCAATTCTCAATCTCTTGAGGCTGCGCAAGGATTCGAGGCTAGTTCTGCACTTGGGGCCTCCCCATGCCTGGCTGGGCATTTTCCATCATCAACATTTTTGGGTTTGCCAATGCCTTCTTTCTATGATTCAGGAGAATGTCTGCTAAAGGTCATCCAGTTGAATTTATGCCTAAGGCAAGACTAGATCTTCCAGTCTCCAAGATAGCCTGGTGCCTACAATAACTATATCTGAGTGTCCCTCTGCATGTGTTGTACACACAGTTAATTTTATACTTAGAATTCTTTATGATAAATAGGAAAATTTAAAATTATTTAACATATATCAAAAACTACTAAAGGAACCAGCATTGAAAACGTGGAGCATTTTAATGACCATAAAGTAGTTAATTGTTAGCAAGACACACCTCTTGAGTTGTGGTTAAATACTTACACAAACTGTGAACAATTTTTATAGCAAAGATACAAAATGAAATGATTGCCTACCTAATAAAGGCAGTTCCGTTATATTTTCCTACAGGTTCCCCAATCAGGACATCGGTGGATTGTGAAGCTAACCCAACAACTCCAGAAGCTCCTTGATCTGCCAGTATAGTAATAGTTGCCATACCTGTAAACATATATGGGGTTGCCAATAAAAGCTGATTGGTGAAAGATTTTTTTTTTAAATCAACACAAAGCAATAATATAACTATTACATAATTCTCATTCTATTCTCAGCATATTACCAACAAATTCTTTTAAAAATGTAATTAGCAAAGTTCCATTATTAAGTGTCAATATTTAATCATACCCAATCTCCAGTCAATGTTAGATACATTCAGGATGCAATTCTATATTTTTATTTGGAAGACTAATTCAAGATATATTAATTATCAGGACTATATAGTTGTTTATTTTTTAAATTTCTATTCTGCTTTTTCTTCAGGATCTCAAGATAGTGTACACACATTCCCTTCTCTAATTTTGTATCCTACAACAAAAGTCTTGTGAATTGGTAGTGACTGTTCCAAAATAAGTTAATGAACCTCCATAGTTGAAAGTGGATTTAAAATTAGTTCACCTCATTCTAATTGGAGATATTAGCCATGATGCCTACAGGAACAAATACTTAGCAGGTCAGATAAACACAGCTAAAACTAAATCATTAGTTTATTTCCAAAACAAAGGACAGGTGAAACTGTCCCTCCTGTCCAAGGAGTAACTTCTAGTTATGTCGATTATACTGTCCCCTAAAGTCAAGTAAGGTAACTCATTTTCACAGATTCATAGAAGTATAGCACTAGAATGGACCTTGGAGGTCTTCTAGTACAACCCACTACTCAAGGCAGGAGTACTTATAATATTCTGGACAAATGTTTGTCCAATCTTTTCTTGAAAACTTCCAGCGATGGAGTACCAGAATTCCAGAACGCAAACTATTCCATTGATTAATTCTTCTCACTGTCCAATCCAATTCCTCATTTCCAGATTGGATTTCCTATGATGCGCTTCCACCCATTGCTTCTTGTCCTCTCTTCAGATGCTATGGATACTAAATCATCTCTCTTTCCCCTGTGACAGCCTTTTAAGTATTGGAAGACAGCTATCATGTCATTCCTCGGACAGCAGCGGCTTTTTTGAAAGGTAAAAGCACATTGCTGGCTCATATTTAAGTGGTGGTCCACCAGGACATTTAGATTCATCTCACAGACACTACTGTTAAGCCATATACTGCCTATTGTGTACCCATGCATTGTGTTTTCCTAAGTGCACTACTGAACTCCATCTTGTTGTATAGGGCCTGATGCAGTACTGTTTATCTCACATTGCTCTATCTTACCAAGCAACAGTCTGTGATCTACTTTATCAAATATCTTACTGAAGTTTAAGAATACTATATCCACTGCATTTTCTTGATCCACTACTTTAATTTAATTTAAACAATGTAACATAATAAAGTAATTTAAGTTAATTAAAACCTTGTGGGTAGGAGTGCAATGTAAGAATCTAAACCATTATTTTTCTTCAAATAGAGCTTGTATTTGAGACATAAGAATCATGCAAATTCTTTCATTAGGGCTTTGTTAATTCTTCCACAATAAATCTACTTATCAAAAGCTTGTTCTTTCTGTTTGCAGTCCAGTTTGCGACAATACTGTGAAATACACAGTCAAAGCCAATATCCAGGACAATATTCAGCATTCATAGTTGAAAAACAAGGTTAACCTCAACATATGTTTTCAAAAGCCTCAAATACCACATGTGTCAGGCATTCAATATCCAAGAAAGAAAAACCTTAACTCCATTTGAATAGAGATAAAGTACTTTTACTAGGTATGAATTGAAAGCAGCAAAAAGGAAAGTAAGATCTGAGTCAAAAAAGCATGAACAAGTACACATCAAATGCACCCTCCCCCCAATTCCCCAATCCAATGTCCAACCTGCAATTCCCTAAGGTGTCATGTGGGGTGCATCTTCAAAAAGCCTCATCAAGTTGTTATGCGAGATGGTTGGCCTTGACCAAGTCCAAACACAGGCCACCAGCATGTGCAGAAGATGGTGAGAACAAAACTTCCTTCTTCATAACTCCTCCAGCACCTGTAATTCCCCCTCCCAAATATCTCAAGCCCCCTCCCTCCCTGTTTCTATGGCAGCCGATAGCAAGCAAGGAAAGTAGAGGCTGATAACATGTAACTACTTAGTAAAAAAAGACCTCTATTTAAGAATTAGATACTTTTCAAAAATGCTACAATTCCAATATAGCAAAAGTANTGGATGGGTGAGCGAATACTTTTGGCAATATAGTGTATGTGTAAAATTATATGAAAATCTACCAATCAGCAATTTTTAAAAGAGATGCAAAATCAAAAACAACCTTCATAAAAATGAAGAGAATAATTATCTCAGGTAAATTCTGGTTAAAAGCATAATGTTAGGAGGGAAGGAACTGATTATCTTTTAAAAGGTAAATCATTATAAGCCATAAGGTTATATAAGGCACTTCTGTATAAAAACAAGAATTATTATCCATCTCGCAATGGGGCATAAAATGAAGAATAACTGATATTCTAAATATGTTAGTTCTAAGCATGCCTGAAATCCACAAACATTCATTTAAAACTGCATTTCTTTATATTAGACTTCAGACACACATTTTCAGATCAAGACATTTTGCTGGCCTCTATAAAATTGCTGCATGAATGGGTGGGATATATTACAGGTAGAAGAATCAAGACATGTTGACCGATCTGAAGCATGAGTTTACATAAAAATCTATATTTGTGACTTGGTAGTCTTTAGTGAAACTAAATCGAATAAATCAAATACAAAGTAATCAGATGTATTCATTGATCATAAACTAAAACAATCAGAAAACAAAAATTCAACATTTTATCTATCAATTAAAACACAGTTCATTTCTCCATGCACAAATCTTTTTATAAGATTACAAATTTCCAAAATTATTAACTTTTGAGCAATGTAAGAAAGCAGCATTACAATAGGCCTATGAATTTAGTAAATAATAAACATGAGATATAAATAAATATTAAAAATAATAATTTAGAGCTTGGATGGAGAGTGGAATCTTATTAAATTGAAATTACTTTTATCTTTTTCCTTTCTAAGCATATATTAGCACATATTAGCATATATTTCAGTCTATTTATTATTAACATGCTTTGTTAATGTTTGAGAAATTAAAAATAACACAAGGTTCTTTACCATGGGTAACACACGTGTGTAATAAAATTGGAGGTTAAATTATTCTTAGTCCATTTAGAGCTATAGGTTGTTCAGAACAGGTTGTCCTTGAATCCATATAAAGGTAAGCAAGGATCAGTACAACCAATTCCTTTCTGAAACTGAACTGAAAAATTTTCCCATAAATCTTATCCAAATCAATGATGGCTGCTTTATAACTTTAATTGATTGATGTTTTAGAAAACAAGTGAAGAGTATAAAATTCTAAAAAGAGTATAAAAAAACAAAGTTTTTTTAAAAATTAAATAGACATACCTGAGACTCTCCTATCAATTCTCCAGCTCTTTCAAGTACCAAGGACAGTGTTAATGAGACATTGGGGTTGGGAAGAATGATTTGGCTTTCATTGAGGAAGCGGACAATCCCATGTGGAGAGTCACTCTTAGCAATAGTTATTTGGGTCACCAGGTGAAGTCCCAGAACCGCTCCTCCACTGGCACCTATTAGTTGGATTTCAAACTGCTCAGCATTTTCTCTAATCAGAAACCAAAGAATGAAATGAATGTTGTCACCAAACACAGTTATACTACCCCATATATCACTGAAATATGAACATCCAGTAATTTTACAGCTCATATTCATAAAATTTACTATTATTGTTGTTATTGTTGTTGTTATTGTTATTATTATTATTATAATACATGAAGTATTTAAAGTTATAGATCAGGGCAAAAAGAACTAATTGATAATAACACCACTAATTCTTCTAGAAAAATATATATGTAGAAATTGTAATTTAAACATTTGTTCTGGAAAAATAAGGTAAGCAATGAAATGCCATATGATTTAAATTTAATTTTTTAAATAAAACAGGCTAGTTTTATACCCACTCTAATTAACTATGTTTATAGCAATAGCACTTAGACCTATATACTGCTTCATAGTTCTTTACAGTCCTCTCTAAGCTATTTACAGAGTGTCAGCATATTGCCCCCAACAATTGGGTCCTCATTTTACTGACCTTGGAAGGATGGAAGGCTGAGTAAACCTTGATCTGTTCAGAACAGAACTCCTGGAATGAGCGGTCTGCATTACTGTAATCTAACCACTGAGCCACCATGGCTCTTATACAAATACTGTAACCAATGATGTCTATCAAGTTTTACTGATTTGGTTATGAGTGCCACTGACTGTGAAATGTAATTCTTGAATAATTGTAGGGCAGTGAATGAAAAATAAGAAAAAGAGCTTTACCTTTCTTCATCATTTATGATTAAAATGCTTATAAAACTCTGTATTTGGCCATGATGAAAAATTACTGAATTATTTGTAATACTATAATCAATCCCATCTGGAAGAGCTGAAATACTTCTAGATATGAAATCTGCTGTCACAAAACCGTAACTGCCCAATCTTCGAAATACTGGAATCATTATCCAACCAACATCTTCTTCCACTGAAACAAAACAAAACACAGGATGCATTACAAGTTCTAATGCAGGAATACGCTTCTAACTTTTAAGTAAGCTTCTAAGTGCCAGGAAGTTTGGTTTTAAAAGAGTGCAAAATTATAGCTGTATAAAAAGCCATGATTATATAAATTGTACATAAATGCCCTGTTATTCACTTCAGTTCATAAAATTAGATGTTCAGCCTGTGTCAAAAGTTGTCTACAAATATAATCACTGGGATACAATTATAATTGTGGAATTTATGTTTATCCTTGAAATCTGATAACTTTTGCTTCTTTTATATGTGTAGTATATATGAAGTCAATACTCTTAAGTATATGAAAACATTTTTATGTTATTGAATTGTATATGAAGGCTCCCTCCCCCATATATTACATGGATATATTTAGGCCTTTGCCAGATTCTGTGCTCAGAAGGACTGCCTTATTTATAGGCAGGTCCACAGTAAAGAAAGATAAAAGCCATGTAATATATCTATTAGTTCAGAAAATGGAAAATGCAGAACTAGAAATAACAAAAGCCCAAACTGGCCAGAAAATGTAGAGTCACACAGAACCAGGTTAATATTATTGATTCTGGCTCCCCACTGAGTTTCCTGTGGGAAATTGGCAGGAAGCATTGGAAATTAAACTTCCTTCCTTCCTTCCTTCCTTCCTTCCTTCCTTCCTCCCTCCCTCCCGCCTGCCTGCCTGCCTCTTTGTTCCTGCCTGCCTGCCAATTATACCTCTATAATGTACTGCTATGAAAAGGAATAAAACATATAGAAATAAAAGTTGGAAATGTGATACAGGAAGAACATTTTATTTCACTAAGTAGTCATGTAAACACATTCAAAAGTACTAGAAATATTTAACAACAAAGCTTGAATTTAAACGATGTTTTTTCTAGTAGAAATCTTTCCAGTAAATAAAATATATCACAATTTTATTATAATATACAATGATTTTCAAAAGCATAAATTGGCTCACATTAGAAAAGAGACACTTTGCCTACAATAACAGACAGGGAAACCAACTTGGCAGCAATGTAATACGTTTACTAAGGGACAATATTTGATTTAAATACTGTAGTTACTAGAAACAATTTGAATATTTATTAATAAGTTGATGTAATCACTTGCCAGGTACAATGGGAGGAAATTGAGTATTTAATATTGTTTTTAGTTGATTGTTTTTAGTATTTTTTCATGTGGTTTTTTATGTTCATGTCCATTTATTTTAGACAATGATAAATAGTAGTCTGCAGTGATTTAGAATGATTTCTCAAGATTATATGAGTCTGATTTTTACATGCTCAATAAATCTTAAGTACTCAATTATTTAAGTCATAAAATAAGGAATGTTATATTTTATGAGAATTGGTTTTTTCAACAACAAAGTGATTGCAGCCCCACCTCCCAGTTTATGGACAGCTCACCCAGTTACTTCAGAGCGCTGCTTCAGAATCTCTTTGCAAACCACTGCTGTATGGAATGGTGATCTTGTGGGGTGATTCAGGGACGCTCACTAACCCAGGAATTATGTAAACTTAGGGAACTGAGTTTGCTTGTTTTTAAATTGAAAGTACTTTGGTCTGGAGCATTTTGGATTGGCCAGTTGGCCATCTTCGCTGGAAATTGTGAATTCTGCTTATTTACTGATTATTTTTTATTTTCCATCCACTATGCCTTTTCTCATTTTATTTTTTTCCTTTACAGTTTGTTTCCTTTACTTCATACTTTTTTTCTTTTATTCAATTTGTGTTCATGGATCAAAATACAAAAAGAAAATAAAAAAATGAACATAAAAGCCATTTTTTAATTATTGTTGTTGTTTAAAAGCTAACTAACACAAAAGGAAAAGTGGTTAGTATTTTTTAGCCAGGGGCAGAATGTTTTCCTTGCTGGATCCTGAAATAAAATAAACGACTGAAATAATGCAGTAGGAACTACCATACCTTCAAGTCTTGCATGGGAGGGATCAAATTCAATGATGCCTTCTGCATTGTCACTTTTTGATATAATGATTCTTATTACTGAACCGTTTCCTATCTCAGGTGGCTGGTCAATTTGCAATCCATTTTCTTTCATTGTAAAATCAAATCCACTTGCAAAAGTATATGAAGATAAAAATAGTAAATAAATAAGGCAATACTTTCATGTCCCTATATGCTCTTATTTCTTTGTATTAGATAGTCCTCAAGTTATGCTCACTCATTATGATGGGGCTGAAGTAATGAATTTAATGCTTCTTGAAGTTCCGGCCATTGCAGATTCCTGCAGTTACGTGATCAACATTCAGGCCAGTCATTTACAACTGCCCCCTGCTGCTGCCACACTCTGATTGCCCATAGCATCTCCCCATCTGTGGAACCCTCTATGATCCCTAGTACCCACCTGTGGCACCCACCCCACCTGCAGCATCTACCTTCACTTCCTAGCACCCACCAACACTGCCACACTCCCAAGGGCCTACCCGCAGCCCCCATCCCCATCTGCGTTCCTTAGCATTCACCTGCAGCACTTCCCTTCTCATATAGTTCTAACATGTATCTCTAACCTGCCAACTTGCTTGCCTGGAACTCCCATCTCTTCCTACTAAATCACATAGTCAGGGTTACAGTGACAATGGGACTACTGGGATTGGTGTTGTTAGGTGATGTGGTCACATGGTATCACACTTTATGACATTACTTAGTGATGGAAAGTCTGGTCCCCATTACCATCATAACCTGAGGAGTACCTGTAACTGATTCAGCAATAACATCAAATTATAAGTTATTACTACTAGAATGAACCCGGTTTTTACATTTCTGGTTTGCAAGGGAACTATAATATAAGGTACATCCATATTAAATTCAATTTTACATTAGATCTTGATCACAAAATCAACTATGATACCAAGATTTGCTACACAGTATTTTATATTTAATGACTCCGGTCAATATTTTTCTATAAGATGACTTTTATTTGTTTACCTTTCCAGTAATTCTACTTTTGTAATTACTATTGAAAAATCCTCAGGACCTTCTGGAAGATCATCATCATAGATTTCAACATAAATAGTTTTAACGGTTTCAGTGGGTTTGAAAATAAGCTCTTCTGAAGTCACACCAAAGTCTATGCCTTCCACTGCAGTACCATTCAATGTCTTATACAAAAGGTGAATTTGCTTGTAAGATCCATGAGAACGGACAACTGTGATGTTAGCCTATTGGAGACAATTGCATTCTAAGATGAAATGCACCTTCATGATTTCTCTAAAGGTAAGCACAGAATCAAAGAATTCTAGAGTTGGAAAGGACCACATGGATTCTAGTACAAGCCCCTTCAGGAAAGGGATTTTAAAAATTCATGTTACTGAATTCTACTAACATGATTTACTGTAACTCTGATATCCATTTTCTACTAGAGTAGAAAAACATACCATTTGGACTGTTGCAGTTTATTGTTCTTTGATCTATAGCAGGGCTGTCAAACCTCCAGCCTGTGGGCCCAATGCGTCAAGTGCTGGCCACACCCATGCCCGGTTTAGTGAAGGGGGAAAAAGTCACAATACATCACAAGACGCCATCATGACGATATGAGTTTGACTTACAAGGCAATGGGATGCGCATGTGTGAAGAAAATGGCAGCAACGGCAGCTGCTTTTTCGCTGACCAGAGGACTTTTCAATGGCCTGCAGCCAGCCACCAGCCTCTTTGAGAGCCGGTATGCAAAGAGGAGGTGGCTGGGAGGCTTCTTTGCCAGCTAGCCGCTTCCCAGCAGAAGGTAAGCAACGAAAGAAGTGGTGGTGAGGGAGGAAGCACAGAAACAGGGGAGACTAGCAAAGGGAGAGTGGTGGTAGAAAGAGAAAAATCCTAAAAAATTTCCTACCTTTTCCTGTGGGCGTGGCTAAGTGGGGAGTGGGTGTGGGCATGAGTGGGTGTGGGCATGAGTGACATCAAGTTGGCCACACCCAGTCAGTAACATGACTCCCACCTAGTCACATCCACCGAACTGGTAGCTAAAATTTTTGAATCCCACCACTGCCCTACCCCAATATATAACATGAAAAATATATCTCGGAAAATTATCTAATAAATATAATTTAATTAAACAAAAATAATTGATATATAAATCAAAATGGAATTAAAATCTAAAGTAAAATTAAGTATTTGGAACCCTTGCTGTCTTAATAGTGCTTGGTATTAACATCTAAGACAGAACTTCTATCACAATGTATAATATGAAAAGCTGTTCTAATAAATTAGGATTTAAACTCTGCCTACCCATTTATCATCTTCTGTTGTTTGCAGTACTTCTTGAGAAAATGTGAATTGTCCATATGGCAAATCACTAGCAGCCATTATGATATTTGCTGTTTTGGCTGCTTCATCTATGATTCCGCCATTGCTAATACCAGTCAGCTGAAACTGATAGTGTTGCTTTTCTTCTGGGATGTCATCATCAAGAGCCTAGATGAGAGTGGAGTTGGAGTTTATTCAATTTGTAGGCCGCCCTATTCCCCGAAGGGACTCAGGGTGGCTGAACAAAAGCCAAGGGAGGGAAATTACAAAAAGTAAGACAGAAACAATTAGACAATACGAACAACTTAAAAGCACAACAGACACAGCAAATTCGGGTAGGGGGGGGGGGACTCAACCCCAGGCTTGCTGGGACAGCCAGGTCTTCACG